TGTACAAAAATGAAAAAGCACGGTACACACATGGGTCTAGTATACCCAATCTAGGTAAAGCATGATACATCAAGCAATCAGTTCAGACCCCGCATGATTAAACTTGTGACAAACTTGCACTGCCGCTGGAACAAACTTTTGCCATGGGGTGCTGGAATAAAGGACGGATAAAATTAATGCGAAAGCGGAGCGCAAAGCCCTTACGTCGTGGCATAATTTGGAATATATATGCTCTGTCGTGCAATCTGGGGGCGATTCCTGTCCACTTTCATTTGACTTTGTTAGCAAAAGTTTTTTGAGATTATGAAGACAATTTATTCATTATTTTGTTTAGAATATACTGTTGCATTGTATCGTTATGCATGACATCGCATGTAAATATTATTGTTGCAAGGCTGCTTTCTTACATTTAGTAAATTCCTTCGTGTATGTTTTGTTTTATACGGCGTGGGGCCACAGGGCCAGGGGCCGCTTTAGTTCTATCTCACCAAACAATGTAGCTCTCGATGTATGCATTGTTATTTGTTTGTTACAGAGAATGGCAAATATAAAAGACTAAAAGACCGAATGCATCTTTATGTTTATGCTCGGTAGATAGCAAGTTTGGGGCTAGGCAAGGATTTATCGGTCTACTGAGATTTTATGAGGAAAAAGTTGCAGAGGATGATGAATAGCTTTTTTATGGCAGGGATTTATCGGTCTACTGAGATTTTATGAGAAAAAAACTTGCAGAGGTAAAACATGAATAGCTTTTTTTTAAAACGAAACTACACTGGAATTGTAGCATGACTATAGTTTCAATAAAAGCCCGTCCCACTCCTTTTAGGTTGGGGTTGTGTCACGGTGAACCTTGCTATTTGTTAATCTTGAGTACAAAATGCTAGCAACGTCAATGAAACTTTTAAATGAAAAGAAAAACCTTCAGGGGAAAGATATGAACATTTGCCCCTATTAAAAGATCGAATGAAAAAAATCCTGGCAAGCATAAACAACTTTGCCACCATCGTCATGGCCGAGGTTATTGCTTCTGGGTCAAAGCTTCCATCATGGCGGAAATATCATAGACATGTCATATTTTTGGATACCTTGAGAAGAAATATCGATTCTGCACTGCCTGAAGATTTAGAAAATACCTCCTCTTAATATTTTACAGTGTTGTGCTAGACTTTCGAAGCGCCGCGCTTAGCCGCGGCAAAACTAGAAACGAACAAAACGAAGGAGATATTTGTAGAGCAAGCATAATGTATAGCGTAGCGGCGCAATTTCATCGTCGCGTAGAACACTGCTGGCTGGAACACATTTTTGCCTAGGAGAAGGGGGTGCTGAAGCATATTCCAGCACCCCAATCCAAAAAGTTGGGGGTGCTGCAGCATCCACAGCACCCCCATTCCCGGGGGCTTGAAACTTGACTGTTATTATTCAGAAACTTAGACCATCCTTCCAGAAGAAGCATTAGGCTATGCCCATACGGACGATTATGGAAAACAACATGGTCAGTAAAAACCATTGGCCAGAGTTTTTTTTATGGAAGTCGGCCTAGTGGCCCAAGTGCCATTTTGTTACATATTTTCAGAAGCTGTCAAAGTAACAGAAAATAAGTAGGAGAAAAACACCTTCCTTCATATTACTGTTCCACAAAACTGAGCTTAAATACATAAACTATTTGTTATTCAAAAACAGCTTCATCGTGTGTACTTAACGAAAAGTTAAAACCACAAACGTGCGACTGCAAGGCGAAATAACTTTTGACGTTTTAAGAAAACCCCGAACGGATGACTAATAAACACATAAATCTCATATTGGGTATAAACTTCTCTAAGTCAAAGATGCAATTTGTATCATTATATGTTTGAGTACTATTAGGTTGACATCACATTGCTTTTTAATCGGTTTTTTTTTTTGGCGAAGACTATTGTTTTGTACTGCGGAAAAGAAATTGTATGAATGTTCAATCAACCAACCAAGAGATAATGAAGTGACTTGTATGGGTTGTAGTTTTTCGTTGACTGAATTGAGTGGCGATTACTTACAAAAATGAGTACAAAAATTGTTTTGAGTACACCTACTTCTGAATATTCAAAACACTCTGTAAAAAGGATGACATATCACCAAACTATTGGATATTTGTCCAGATTTTATTTGAACATAAACCCTGTTAAGTGTTGCATATTTCCAGAGTGATTCAGGCATCGGATTTCCGTTGAAAAGTAAATTAGAGCTTACTTTGATCATAGCTCAATGCTTTGATTCACCTTCCCACTATAAGGGGAGAAATTCTGTTGACAATTTAAAGCTTATTTTAATCGGCGCTCTTCATAAGGGGCGGATTTAACATGTTGACAATTTAGAGCTTAATTACTTTGATTCGCCCTCTCAACAAAGGGACGGATTTCAAATTAACGTTGAGAGCTGACTTTGATTCGCCCCCTCAATATTAGGGTCGATTTCTGTTGGCAATTTAGAGCACTCTTTGATTCACCCTCTCAATAATAAGGTGCGGATTTCTGTGGACAACTTAGAGGTTAAATTCACCGTCCCAGATAAGGTGGCGGATTTCTGATGACAATTAAACTTAGGAGTAATTACTTTGATTCGCCCTCCAAAAATTGGGGGCGGATTTTTAAAGTTAGGGGGCCTATATTGATTCGCACTACCAATAAGGGTGCACATTTCTGTTGACAATATAAAGCTCATTTTGACCCCCCCCCCCCCAAATTTAAAAGTTAAACACATTCAGAAACAAAGTCTTTTACAGACCCATCTTAAAAACAAGAAAAAAAGATTTTATAAATCGTATTGTTTGCCTAACCAGGGTTGTAAATAAAGACATTGTATACTACAGTTGTTGGAAAAAGTGTTCTGAGTCAATTTCTTTGTTGTTCCAAACAGTCAGAATACACAATAAATTGTCTTTTTGTGTGTGTGATGAAACAGGTTTTAGGGTCATTGCGTTAAAATGTTGATATTCTCTGAACGGATTGAGCAAATTCAGTATTTTTTCATCTAACAATAGCTTATGAAATTGGCTTTCCAGTCATTATTATTTTGGTACTACATATTGTTTTAAATATGAAATTTATTTTTTGGGGTTTGCCTCCACTTTTTTTTTTACTCACCCATTAATAGCATTTCGTTGGCCAGTTAAAGTGTTCAGACAAGCACGCGTAAAGGAATCCCAAGGTTCATATAATTTCACGTCAAAGTCGTCTCGATCTTGATTATATTTTCCTAACCAATGCTAACCATGATCGCTATCCTTGCTCCAAGCATCCAAGAATGCTCCAAGTAAAATTGTTCCGTGCTCTATGCTTCAGCCACCTGAATCACACAGCTGCATTGTACATACACAATGTACATGCTATCCTACAATCTAGCTCCATGATAATAGCATCATATGGATGGTCACACACTGGCATGGGTAACACCTATACTGACCACGGCCTGCAAGTCACTGCTCTTAGCTAGTGGATCAGTTACAGCTGACCACAAGTAGGCTCTTATCAGTCTAAACATGCTAAAACATCAGGTTATCCGCTGCAGGCACTGCATGCTTCATTAGGCTTGAACCTCAGAAACTAAGGTTTGAGAAAATGCATTAGATTGGGCTCAGTTCTGTAATGGTAGCGAAAATGAAACGCGTGTTCAGAGCGATTCTCAAATTCAGACGAAAATGATTAACCAATTTTCATAAGTGATTGAACATTTTAGGAAATTCGCCGGGAAAACCTATATTAAACAAATTCGATGGAAATATTATTTAACATTTTAATTAACATTAGATTGATAAGCTCAATGATGACTGGAAAGAAGCTGGGGTATCTCTGCGATAGAATCTGTTTGCTACGAGTGTTAAATTAATCGGGAAAACCGATACATTTCATGTGGAAATTCAATGAAGTTGAAATCGTTGTTTTTCAATGTTTTTTAATACAACGTTACCTGCCAGTAACGTGTACAGCAACGCCAGTTGCAGAGAGTTCTCGACGAACGATCCGGCAATGGCCGCTGCACTCATCATCACGCCACACGTCATCATGACGTAACCAGCCCCAAAGCGCCTGCTCACTAATCCTCCGAAAGGAGCTGTGGAGACGTAAAATATTTGATTTTGAGTTGATCAAAGGATGGAACATCCTTGTTTCTAGATGATCGTGCAGTTTACTCTCCGCACGTATATCAGTTCACAAAATTTCAACATTTATGTGTATTTAATTTTAAAATAATGACTGTGAAATAGAATGAAAATGGTATTGCTGAAGGGACCCATTTAAAACCGATGCATGGAGAAAATTAAAATCATAATTATATTTTGAAAGTATCATATTCACATGTAGTCTGGGTTGCATTACAACCAACAATTATTACATTTAAATAGTGGCTTACAGTCATGCAGATGAGTAATTGATATACGCATGAAAACGCTCAGTCAATTTTAATACAGTACAACAGCCATGCATGCGCTTCTTCGCAACGCCATAAATATAATACACACAGTTGAATTAAATTGCAGTTTAGACAAAAACTGTCAGTGTTACCTACGAATCCACTTGTTGCGGTTGTCAGTGACGCTATCCAGCCGATAATCCACATTTGGGAGGTCAGTTGGATTTGCAAAATCGGCAGCATTATCCCGAGACCTTTGGTAATGCCGATCACCATGAGGTTGTTGGTCCAGAGCGCGAGGACCGCGACCCAGCCGGGCCATCCGCCGTCCGGCCCCTCCAGACTGTTGCTCACCACCCCGCTCATAGTCCGGGACTATTTTGGTTTAGGAACAGGGTGCGCGGTGGTTGACTTTCTTGCTCAAAGGTTTTAGAAGGGGTACCGGGTGGGCATGGACATGATATATACATAACACATCTCGCAGTTACGTGACACCGCCATCACGTGAATATTATGTATACATGTAGTCCTACATCTAAATTCTATTACATAACACTTCGTGCAAGTCTTCAGAGGGTATGCATTCCTTTCAGGTGCCAGGCATGCGGATCACACAATACATTCAAAGAATCTATAGTAATTCAAATGAGGTAGTGTAGCATGGGTATATAAACCCCCGGCTGAAAGGAGCCAGCATCTTTTCTTCGTGTGATAGGCATAGCGAAAAGAGCTGAACAGTTCAGCTCCTTGTTCATTGCAATAATGAATACTGACTCGTCCGAAGACGACATTAAATCACCCCAACCAGGCCAAGGTAAGCCTATATAGTTCTCGCCGGGACATCGATGCTCGGTTACAGGCCAATGCCGACGGTATCCAGAAGTTATCGGCTTCTGTTAATGCCATGCAAGAGATGCTGGCATCAGTGGTTCATTCCCGTGACTTATCCGGACGTGCGAAGCACGCCGGCCCCAGCAACTCCGCTGGTAGTCCACCCCAGTTTGAGGTCTCGGCTCAATACGACGAGGAGTTTGTAGACGAGCTACTAAGCCAGGAAGCTGTGGCATACGACCCAGCTAATCTTAGTTTGACCTGACCAGTGTACTGGCGGATAACCAAGCCATTACAGCGCAAGCTGATTTTGACGTTCTTCCAAGTGAAGATATTTACAATGACAGTGAGGCTAATTAGCCCCGAGATATTTAGCAACCTAGCAGAAAGAGCTGTAAAAGCGGTAACTTTGCCAATCAAGAAAGAGACGTATGCAAAAATTGCAGAAAAATACGTTACACCGTCAAATGCGGTAGCTGTGTCGGCACCCAGAATAGACAGTGAACTTTGGGGAACCATCCCCGCCTCAGCTAGATCCAAGGACGTGATCTTACAGAAAATCCAAAAACAAGTTATCAAAGGTTTGCTTCCTTACTGCAAAATGTTGACTGAATTGCGTGATGCAACAAAGTCAGGCTAAGTTGTGAACATTGACAAGTTAAAGGAACTTGCTTTAGATGGCATTACCCTTGCAGGGAACGCCTCTTATGAACTGTGTTCCCGCAATACTCCCGTCTCAGAAATGTTGTTTGGGAAAGACATGAATAATACATGTACAATGAAACAGGTAGCTGATGAAGCCTACAAAGCAGGCAAAAAAATGACCTCAGACGAGAGGAAAAATCAGTCTTCCTATCGCCGTTATGTGCCTTATAACCAGCAGAGAACAGGCAAAGGCTCGTCCGCAAACTACAGCGGACCCACTGTTAGACAGACGCTTCTGGCGTTCATCTTCTCGGGGTTCGAATGTTCCCCAACATAGCCGTGGGCGATCCACCTGGCAGCAGAGATCTAACAAACCATCTACTGCAACGAAGCCTACTTCAGAAAAAAACGGGTATGTAAAATCAGACCTGCTATCCTCTCCATTGGCAAGTGCCGGGAGACTAAAATTACACAAGGGCGATTGGTCTCAAATCCCTTCTGATAGGTGGATTCTAATCACCATATCAGGTTGTAAAATTGATGAGCTGTCCAATTCAAACCTCAAAACCTCAAAAGAAATCCTTCTGTGATCAAGAATCACTTGTGATCAATACTGAGATAAGTGAACTGCACAAAGGTGCAATCAGAGAAGTTTCTCTGGCGGAATGCCAGTTTCTGTCGAACACTTTTCTGATAGTGAAAAAGACAGGTGGATTGAGACCATTTATTAATTTGAAAGATCTTAACAAATTTGTGTCGTACGAGCACTTCAAAATGGAAAATATCAAGCTCGTGAAAAACCTAATTCAAGTTAATGACTTTCTCACGTCAATTGACCTGAAAGATGCTTATTTTTCTATTCCAATGTGTGAGAAGGATCAACCTTATCTTTGATTCTCTTGGGCAGAAAAATGTGTTTGCTTTATTTGCCTACCATTTGGCTTATCATCAGCCCCTAGAATTTTTACTAAGGTTATGAAACCTATAGTAGCATCAGCGAGCAGTCGAGGTATTCACTTGGTCATTTATTTAGATGACATCCTCATCATGTCTTCTTCAAAAGAAGAAAGCACCACAAACACTAATTTCGTGATAAACATACTCCAAAATCTTGGATTTGAAATTAATTATAACAAATCAATGTCAATTCACATCCCTAAAAGTAAGGTGGAAAAAGTCAAGTTGGAATGAAAGAAAGAAAGAAAGATTAATCGGAACAAATCCAAAGAGTGGTCGGGTTGTGCCCGACCACTCAATGAGCAGGAAACAAAGTCTCCAGTCAGGCCTCCTGTGGAGTTAATCACTCTACCCCAAACTTGGAATTTGTGGCTGTCCCACCCAGGGCTGGCAATAGTGCAGTGACCGCATATCAATTAGTGTCTAGTGTGCATACACTGTATAGCTACTAAGCACTAGCACCACAATATCGATATCATCGATACTAGTCTTTAAAGTGATACAACTAAAGCAACAAACTGATAAACTATGACAATTACACAACGCTCAGTTTTCTTCCTAAAGAAAATAATCTAAGCATGGTCAAATGGTTCCCACAGTAGTCTCATAACACTTCCACTAACAAAAGGATACGAAATAATCGGAATGAAATGATAACTGCTCCTAACTTCTACTTTAACGAATTAAAGAAAAGAATTTCTGTACAAATATGAACCTGATTACTGTTTCTGGCAAGTCAATTCACTATAAATGCCGTTTCAAGATCCAAATGTCAAAATAGTAAGAGTACAAACATCACAAAATGAGACCTGTTTTAGTCAGAAAAGGAAAATTTAACAAATGAAAAGAAACTATTCGAAGCACCTTAAGACTATGGTGAATGGAGCAGTGTGTACTCTCGTGTTTACATAAGGCGAGCCCTCAAATTAGAATCCCTATATATCAGTATATATCATGTCCATGCCCACCCAGTACCCCTTCTAAAACCTTGGAGCAAGAAAGTCAACCACCACGCACCCTGTTCCTTCATCAAAATAGTCCCTGGACTATGAGCGGGGTGGTGAGCAACAGTCTAGAGGGGCCGGACGGCGGAAGGCCCGGCTGGGTCGCGGTCCTCGCGCTCTGGACCGAAAACCTCATGGAGACCGGCATTACCAAAGGTCTCGGGATAATGCTGCCGATTTTGCAAATCCAACTGACCTCCCAAATGTGGATTATCGGCTGGATAGCGTCACTGACGATCGCAACAAGTGGATTCGTAGGTTCATGTTCATGCGTATATCAATTACTCATCTGCATGACTGTAAGCCACTATTTAAATGTAATAATTGTTGGTTGTAATGCAACCCAGACTACATGTGAATATGATACTTTAAAAACATAATTATGATTTTAATTTTCTCCATGCATCGGTTTCAAATGGGTCCCTTCAGCAATACCATTTTTATTCTATTTCACAGTCATCATTTTAAATTAAATACACATAAATGTTGAAATTGTGTGAACTGATATACGTGCGGAGAGTAAACTGCACGATCATTATTATTTTTTCGGTGGTCTGGTCACAACATAATTTACTATTATGATAAGTTGATTATATTACTCTTAATTTACTACAGACATCATCATTGTGCCCAAAACGCAATATAGCCGAACAGAATTTTCACTGTATGGTATCCTACTTAATTGTTATCCTACTTAATTGTTATCCAACTTCATTCGCATCTAGAAACAAGGATGTTCCATCCTTTGATCAACTCAAAATCAAATATTTTACGTCTCCACAGCTCCTTTCGGAGGATTAGTGAGCAGGCGCTTTGGGGCTGATTACGTCATGATGACGTGTGGCGTGATGATGAGTGCAGCGGCCATTGCCGGATCGTTCGTCGAGAACCCTCTGCAACTGGCGTTGCTGTACACGTTACTGGCAGGTTGTATTAAAAAACATTGAAAAACAATGATTTCAACTTCATTGAATTTCCACATGAAATGTATCGGTTTTCCCGATTAATTTAACACTCGTAGCAAACAGATTCCATCCCAGAGATACTCCAGCTTCTTTCCAGTCATCAATGAGCTTATCAATCTAATCAGTTAATTAAAATGTTAAATAATATTTCCATCGAATTTGTTTAAAGGGAATATACATCATTTGCTTTTACTGTTATTTTTCAGAAATGGATGGAATTAAGGGGTTGCAAATATATAGCAAATATAGTTACACTGACTTTTTTGAGGTTTTGGGTTCGAAAATGCTATAAAAACCAAGAAAAACAATCATTTTCCTGTAGTCTGGTTCCCTGACTCCATATAAGAAGAAACAGAGCAGTTTACATATATTGGGTAATTGTAAGGTCAGGGAACAAGTCTAGCTGGCTCGTACCCGTTCATAGGTTTGTAATCGATTGCAAACAAGTGCGATGGTCAATTGGGGCCAGTATTTGAAAAAAACCCAGTTTTTTCCAACGCTGATCGGCCGATCAGCGTTGGAAATTGATATAAGAATACCACTTTTCTTGAAAATGAAAGTATACCAGGTGCCATGATTTTACAGGATGCGTTACACTGTCATTCACTATTAGTCCAGCAAGGTATTTCAAAATGATTTGGTAGTTTTATTTTTTGATGTTTGCAAATGCTGTATTTTCCCTTCAATATAGGTTTTCCCGGCCAATTTCCTAAAATGTTCAATCACTTCTAATAATCGGTCAATCATTTTCGTCTGAAATTGAGACTCGCTCTGAACACGTGTTTAATTTTCGTTTTTCGTCTTGAAAATTCATGATCCTGCATACCCCATTTTCAATTTCGTCTTTGGTCGCTCATTTTTGCCATACTTTTTCGTGAAAGACAATTAAATTTCGTCGTCTGCAATTGCTGAACGTGCGATAGATGAATGGGTTCTGTCATTTTGCAATCAATGTTATATAAATTTCATTCAAACTCACCTCATAATTGTAGGCCATCTTCCATATTTTTACGTTTTCATCTGTTCATTTCTACATATTTACTTTATTTTTGTGTCTGTTAGTCTCCTTGTGTAACGTAGGTCTTTAAACCTTCAATAAGCATTTGTCATGTCACAATTATTATGCAAAATTATAATCTTTTTCAATATTTATTTAGTTCTTTGACAATTTTAAGCGTCAACAACTGAAAGAAATAGGGTATACACAGTCGAATAAAATTGCGTATTTACCATTTTATGCAAGAAATAAGTAGGCCTGTAATTATTAATTATGAAAAGCAAACTGCATTCATATTTTCACATCTTCGAAAACAGTCATTCAGTTCTTCTTCTTGTTCTTTGGATTGGTTGTTAAACCTACAATTTATTGTCTTGCAATACACCATGCCAAATACGTCTGTGTATGGTATACCAGCGTGCGCATTGTCTGATGAATTTGATCGAACATTTCTTGAAATCGATTGAACAAAGACAAATTCTATCCTTACATTATGTGCATGGTCATCAGGTGAGACAATTCCATTGAAATTTGACGACATCGAATGGACAAATGTTCAAATTGATCAATTGGAATGACCAACGACAAACGCGTTCCAGTCTTCTGGAGACGAAATTGAAGTTAACCGTTTATGAATTGGAATGAATTAAGTTTCAAAAGTTGCAGGAAAACCTATGTATAAAGCAATGTATATATCGGGGTTACAATGAGACATTAATATATGTGAGATATTCGTTTCTAGTTTTTGGCAATGTAGATCAAATAGGGGACCCATGTCTACACAACAGATGATGAAAACTATACACATTGCCAAAACTTGTCTTTGATGTATATCTTTGAAGGTACTGCAATAGGTATATCGAGTGTCGTTGCAAAGGAGGTTGTCGGACGCTGTTTTACCAAGAACTACGCCACAGCCAATGGCATCGCACGGACCGGCTACTCCGTGGGACTGATCGTCTTCGCGCCCCTGGTCCAGCTTTTCTTAAACACCTACGGCTGGAGAGGAACCATGTTAATAGTGGGAGCCATCACCATGCATTTTGTTGCGAGTGGCGCCGTTATGGTAGCAACGAGGCAGCCTGAGCTGGATCAGTCAAACGCATACCAAACGCTCCCCCAGACCGAACGCACCAATTCGCCATCAGCACATGAGAGCACTCTCCGTTCTCACCGTAGTTCGCTGAGGAAGTTCGTCTCTAAGAACTTCGAGGCGGGACTACTTCTCAATGCGCGCTTCTGGTTGGTGGCCGTCATATCTTGCTGCACGATCTACGCGTACCTCATGTGGATTGTGTATTTCGTGTCCCAGGCGCAGTCCAACGGGTTCACTTTGGAGTAGGCGGGGTCTTTCGTGACCATCGCGGGCATTGCGAACCTGTTTGGTAAAATCAGTCAGGGACTGGTCACCGACCGCGGAGTGATGTCCTCGTGGACTCTGGTTGCCGTTTGCCTCGTTATGAGTTCCGTCTCGTACCTTGCCTCCTCTTTGCTGACTTCTTATTGGGCAATGATGACGTCAGCGGTGCTGATTTTGTTCATCGAGGGGGTCTTGTCCTGCCAGACGGATGTTCTCGTCAAGCAGGTTCTTGGTGTCGAGCTATTGGCGGGTGCTTTTGGCTGGATCGGGCTAAAGGTGACGTTATTATTAGTCGCTTTGGGATTTCTGCCTGGTACGTATAAGCCTTATAAATGAATGTCGTTTCCTTACGCCACTTTCTTCACTGCAGTAGTCTAGTATGTAGTTTCAACATATAAGTAATAATTATTAGGAAGTACTTTAATTCATGGTGTTACTTGTGTGGCATTACTGGCAATGTGCATCACACCATGCAATAGCATAAAAGATCAACAATGTCAAACCATTCTACGAGACTTCGCGATTTCAATTTTACCTTCTGTCTGTTTTAAGGTTTGGTTTACGACTTGACCGGAAGTTACACAGCAGCCTTTCTACTGATAGGCAGCGTGCAGGCTGTACCACTGGTGCCTTTGCTAATGCTAAGATATTCTCAACGGTAGAACCTCGGAGAGTTTTTTTTTGCATTGGAGGGTTTCATAATTGACTGTGAGTCGATCGGAGTTGAAACAGAAGCATAAGGACATAATGTACATTGAACAAGTGTGTTTTGATCAATTAAAGATTAGTTGCACGCAATCCTGGCTTTATGCCTTTTCCTGGCTTTATGCCTTTTGGTCTGTGTCTGGTGTTGTTGCGATTTCTATGGGTGTGGCAATCTTGCCATACCTCGTGTGAACAACATTCATCCGAGTATGATAATGCAGCATGGCAGTGGCGCACCCAGGATATGGCTTTGTGGGGGGGGGGGGGCTCACAATTTTTTTTTTACATTTTTTAGAAGTAAAATTTTTGTCAAAAAATTCTGCCCACAATTTTTGGCCGCAAAAAAAAAGGGGGTTTTGTTTTGGGGGCGGACTATTTTGACGTTGGTGGCGCCACTTACATCCCTATTATACTACTCGAAAATAGGCCACATTATCACCAAGGTCCAATCGTGGGCAACCTCGTCCCCAGGGTGTCGAGCAGTACGCGCCCACCACTACCTGCTCTCTCACCCTGGTATTGGATCATTTGCATGTGCAAGATTTTTGAACACGTATGCAAATGAGGAATAGTCTGGCGCCTACTTGGGGGGGGGGGGGGGACGGGGCCCTCACTCTTTCCGAAGCCATCGCCCCAAAATGGGACACTGTTTTTTTGAAAATCCTGTATGCACAAAATTCATTCAAACGAAGATCCACAATTACGAGGGAAACATCTGCAGCCAGACGCCTAGCCATCTGTCACCTTCACAGCCTTTAAATCATACTAATTATCTATTTGGTTATTAGTTTTAATTAGCTCGATGTAGACATACATGCATCAACATCACGGGGGAAAACATAACTAGAGGTTCGCGTTTGTTGTTACAAACGCAGAGTGGTCGGGTAGACAACTATTTTATGAAACAATGTCCAGTTAACGGGAACATGTAATAGGATTTATATGACTTAAATACATTTAAAACAGCTTTCTTGCCATGTAACTATGAAGTTTCCACCTCCTTTGTAGCAGTAAAAGAGAGAAATTTCAACATTTTAAATTTTCAAAGTTTTTATGCTAATGACAATATCCATATTCATGAGTCAAAGCGTGATGTCATTCAAGGCAGAACCGTAGTGTCTCCATAGCTTTGTGTATACAAATATATATCAAAGTTTTCTTCATTTTCTTGGAATAAATTCCACTTTTTATTGTTTATCATGTAAAACAGCTTATTTGGACAATCGAAGTGGCAAATATTTCTTCAAAAATTTGTTTTGTGCGTAATTTTGAAGGACTAATTTTTGTACTGTTCATAACGCACCTTTGGCAAGGAGTACCTTGTGTGACAAAAGCAAAATAGCGCCCTCTTATATATTGATGAAAGGATTTACTAATAATTTAAAAACTACCACTTTCTTGTCACTTCCAATGAAAACAAGTATTAAGATCTTGTGTGTAGTGTTGCAACACATAGTAATGTGCATGAAAACAAGATGAGCTAAATTTCCACTGTATGTTTCCTTTAAGTTATGAATATTTTGATGTAAGAATACCTGCTCTCTCACCCTGGTATTGGATCATTTGCATGTGCAAGATTTTTGAACACGTATGCAAATGAATGCAAATGAGGAATAGTCTGGCGCCTACACGTGCGTTACATTAGCGTTTGTTTTTGTATGCGGTGTCTGGGGTTTAAAACAACATCAATTCGTCGCACCGTAAGTCATGAAAACACATTTTCCTTTTAAAGTTAAAATGTTACCATCTGGCCTGTCAATTTGCAGTATTACATTTCAGGTTAATAAAAGCAAACTTGAAAGGAAAGGAGTATTTTTGAGAAGGCGTGGATGTTTTAATAACAATGGTCGTGAAAATACGTAATGCACATTGGAAATAACAACACCAACTTCACGGTAAAAATCCATTACTAGCAAATTGCGGTATCGAATCAGGATACAGGGAGAAGGTTTCCTATCCAGGGCTTACTATTGGAAACGAGGTTGGAAATAAAGTAAGCGCTGGGGACGAGGTTGAATAGTGGGACTAAAAAAAAAATAATACAAATAGAAAAAAAATAAAAATTGACAACTTTTTTTTGGGGGGGGGGGGCTTAATCCCCCCGAGCCCCCCCCCCCCGCCCCTTGGGTGCGACACTCCAACCTTCAAGGACTCCCCCTCCAACCTTCAAGGACTGGAATGCATTATCATCACTTGCAATCTCATCCTCATCATTGAATGTATTGTATTTTTAATCTGGCCTTAGCAAGTACAGTACTAACTTAAACAGTAGGCCCTATATAATTTCGTCTAGAAGATGTCTGCCGATGCAACCATATATGAAAATACACCATGCCCATAACAAATCATTCATCTATATATCCCGGTGGTAGATCATCATCGATAGATTACTAGAATGTTGAGTCTTTCCGTAAGTTTGCCTGTATTTGTTTTGAAAAAAGTGTATGAAACAAGCCGTTGCTGATTTGAAGATAATACATGTTTGCGAAATAGCCCGAATGCCTATCGGTCGCATATAAAACTTTGAGGAATCTTGATCTTCACTTTCTCTTAATTTTCGTAACCTTTTAAAAAGCCGCCCTTTCGGACTCGAACTCGAGGGATTTCTTGGGGGGGGGGGGGAGGGAGACGGGGCCCTCACTCTTTCCGAAGCCATCGCCCCAAAATGGGGCACTGTTTTTTTGAAAATCCTGTGTGCACAAAATTCATTCAAACGAAGATCCACAACTACGAGGGAAACATCTGCAGCCAGACGCCTAGCCATCTGTCACCTTCACAGCCTTTAAATCATACTAATTATCTATTTGATTATTAGTTTTAATTAGCTCGATGTAGACCTACATGCATCAACATCACGGGGGAAAAAAATAATCACCATTACTTGCTAAGCCCGCCCCTTATGTTCATGAGTGACCCCAAGTCAAATGAGGGCGCACTATACCGTGCTTAGAGATCGACAGAGTTGACCGCTGCATTTAATTTCGTAATTATCCCAGTAAATGTCTTAAGATAGTTGACTAACATCAGGGTGTGCCGTCGTTGTTCTTTTCTCATGAATAAACATAACCTCCCCATCCAAACTACTGACCATTGACGATATCTACCGAAGGGGTCATGATTATTCAGTAATTTCTATGGGATAGTTATGTTTATTCATGAGAAAACAACAATGACGTCACAATATTGTTATTATAGGTTTTCCCGGCTATTTTAAAACGTTTATCATTCGAATTCACCGTTTCTAATAGTCAAATTTATCCACCAACATCGATTTAGTGCACTTCCAATGTTGAATTTTGTCTTTTGCCAGACAATTTTAAATTCAGTTCAAGCAAATTCAAACAATATTGAGCACACGTTTTCGTCCCGGAGTATTCATTTTCGTCTCGTCTACGCCGAACCTTGTTACTCAGAAATCAAATTCGTCAAATTGATTTAAGACGAATTCGATCTGTAAATGCTGCACATTCGGCAACAGCTTAGATGAATTTGATCTGTAATGACGAATATTTTCGACCCGGCGACTCAAGGAGGGTGACCAAACTTTGAAATTGAATGGTAAATGACTTTTGGTTTTGTTAAAAGCGTGTGAAATTTTTCTCGGGCGAAGTTGATTGTTAGAGTTTGTGAATTTGAATAAAAAATATTTTAAAATAGCCGGGAAAGCCTATACTTATAGTCAATTACATTGTAGTTACATATTATACAAAGAACGGCTCGTTGAGCTTCCAGAGCCTCGTGGATACTGAGATGATGTGAACTATGGATCGCAAGATTTCTGGTTCGAAATCCACCTATATGCCCATTTTTCATCAACTAGTACGGTGTTCTCCAATTTAATCGTTGGGATAATTGTTAATATAAGGGAAATATGTGTAAGGGAAAATAAATGTGTCTTCGACACTGTGTGATAAATATCCATGTCAAGGAGAGTGCGTGATATTGTGATTGGTTAACTTTTCTAGGGTCACTGATACATGTACATGTACATGATGCCGTTGCGGCGAACGGCAACCAGCACGTCTGTTTGGGCTTTCTAATTAAAAAATAACTTGGACTACATCCAAAGGATTTTCATTTTTTGCCTGAAATCTTAGGGAAAGCCATCAATTGCCACATTTTTCGGCTGCTGGTTAAAGTTCGTGCATCAAAAGATACGATACCAGTGAAAGTATAGATGAAGAGATAAATCCTTCCTCGATACCGTGGAAGGAATTATCTTTGAATTCCGGATTTCTGTGATAAATTATCACGGTAACGCGGTATCGAGGAAAAGGTATCTCTGAATTCCGGATTTCTGTGATAAATTATCACCGTAACGCGGTATCGAGGAAGGAATTATCTTTGAATTCCGGATTTCTGTGATAAATTATCACGGTAACGCGGTATCGAGGAAAAGGTATCTCTGAATTCCGGATTTCTGTGATAAATTATCACGGTAACGCGGTATCGAGGAAGGAATTATCTTTCAATTCCGGATTTTTGTGATAAATTATCACGGTAACGCGGTATCGAGGAATGGATTTTCTTTGAATTCCGGATTTCTGCGATAAATTATCACGGTAACGCAGTATCGCGGAAGGCAATTCAAGCTTCCGTACTCTGGCTCTTACAGTGAGAGTTGTTTGTGTGTGCATCCGGCCGTGACGTGACTCCGGCATGTTTTTGACCAGAGGTTTCCAAGATATTTCAATGTAATTCGACAATAGGTGGTTAGTATTTCCTGATATTCGCTATTGAGGCTGCATGTATTGATACACATGTCACTGAATAGGCCTGCAACTAGCGCTCAGTAGGCCTAGGCCTAGCCCCATAAATGTGGCCAATTTACTGGACTACCTCCGTAAACATAGGCCACACTTCCACATGTACAAAAACGTGTCAAACTTTGTCAAATTTTGATTTTCACATTTAGGCTTAGTTTGTACTTTTTTTTGCTTTACAAGCACACTCACCCTCTTTATAGGCTAATCAGAAAGTGCTGCCTTTTTCAGATGTCTATTTTTTGTGAAATTTCCAGATTCATTTGCACACGTTTGCGTATCAAAATTTCAACATGAAATTTCACAAAAATTGGACAAAAAAAACCATT